AGCTCCTGTCCCCAGCCTAGTTTGCACACTGTGGCAAGATGAGGTCTCCTGGAGGAGCTGTGAGCAGACAGAGATCCCTCTGTGGTGCCCTGTCCCAGAGAGCTGGGGGTGACTCAGCCAGGGACAGACCTGGGCTCCCCCTGCCTCCTGCCACAGGCACGGGGAACCTTCAAAACTGGGGAATGCCTCTTTTCTCCCCTTTCATCTTTATTATGCTTTGTCTGAGATCACAGAAGATTGCTCTCTGCTGATGTGCAGTCCCAGACAATGAAGACACCCAGCTGTGAGGGTAAGATGTAACAACAGCCAGCACAGGTAGTCTGAAAACCAGTGAGCTATTTGTTATTTGGGTTTGGGTTGTTTTGGTTTTTTTCATGCCTAATATGCTGCTAGTTTATTTGAAATAATGGGTAATAAATAACATTCCCCTCCAAAATCCATTATTCACTTGTAATGTGTGGCACAAAACATCCAGTTTCTTTCAAGTTGCTGGAAAATTGTAAGGTTGTGGAATAAATTGTGGTTAAAGGCTGTTTTATTACTGCCTGTTGTGGTTTCTTAGATTATTTTCTCAAAGTGTTACTTTAGCAGGAATAGATCATTGGTGCATTTGTGAAATGAATAAATGCAGTTATGAAGATGTGATACATATATCAATTTATGTTAACACTATGTATATAGAGATCTCATACAAGATACAGTTGTGTTGCATGGATACCTAAATTTGAGGATAAATTTTCTTCTTCCCCCAAGCAAGAGTTTAGAAGACAAACCCCCTGCTTTGGAGGGGTACACACTGCATATCACTTTTTTGCAATATACTTCACAAATATGATGCCAAAAAAACTTTTCACCACTCTTGTTCTTAAAAAAAAAAAAAAAAAGAAACAAATGAACTATTTTAACACAACATTACTGAATGTGAATTTTTCAGTCTTTCCTCAAACTACTGGTGGGCTAAGATAAGAAAAGCTCCATCTCCTTCTATAGAACCACCTCTTCCACAGGGATGGATTTACACTGAATCACTTTATTCCCAACCTTAAAAATACTATTGGATCTAGATGCAGGCAAGCCCACTCAGCACGAGCCTTCCTCTGGGCTACAGTCCCAATTAAGGAATGATTCTTGATCTCTCCCCTGGTCTTGTAAACTTCACGTTTTAAGAAAATCCCTTCCAGTTTAACTACTATTTTTTTAAGCTAAGCACTGAATGAAGTTGGGTAACAATTTAATCCTTTTTTTAAAATTATTTCTCTGGTTTTTTTTTAAATTCACTTTGGAAAGAAACTTGAAATATTTCACTCCTAGACAAGTTGAAACAGAGCTTTTTTTTTAGCTGTGAAATGAATATGTCATCAATTGGTACTAGGGAAACAAAGGGTCAAGGAAAACCTCTCCCACTTGCATTTTTTATGAACGTTGCTCATCATGGTGATGTCAGTGTGATTTCTTCTATAGGAAAAGGACAGCTCATATGAGAAAATCTGCAAAATCAGACACAAAGAAAGTACCTGGTTTTCTTTGGAGGATCAGCCTTCACTAAGAACCTGCCAGCTAAAACAAGAGAGGCGTGTAATTCTGTTTTTGCTCCCCACCTTGAGTTGCCCTTACCAAACGTTTCACTGCTGCCTTCTCTGGCTCTTCTGGACCCGCAGAGGCAGCAGCAGGGACAGATCCACCTCTGGTCTAACAGCGACCCCTGTTTCCATCCGGAGCACCCTGGGAGCAGGCATGAGTCATTTCACCACTCAAAAGCCATTTGATTGCCAGAGTGTTAAACCATTCTTTTTGCTAGAGCAGTGAGTCAGTCGTAACAATTGCATTCACCATTTTGGATTTGAAATCTATTTTATTGGCGAAATAATATGACAAACGGTGTATTGCATGCAAGGAACAACAAGGATAATACATTTAATCACAAAAGAGTGAAACATATCAACAAGATGAAATTGACTGGAAATAGAGGGCAGGTCATACAAATAGGGAAAAGACGGAGGATTTTGTGTAATCATACACAAAATTGGTCTATATAGAAGATATTACAGTATCTTCCCAACTCACAGTTACCTCTTATTGCAATAAGAAGAAAAGAAAAAAGTTTAAACTGTCTTTTCTTACAAATCTATTTTGTCTTGAAATATGTATTTTTTGAAGAGCAAGAAAAGATATTATTTTATAACAAGAGGTTATTTTTCAAATTGTAGGCACTGGGCATAGCAGCAAGCAAATGTAGAAGGAAGGAACTTAAATTGAAGTTTCCTTATGCAAATCCCAAGTTGATATTGATTAACCCAGCTACCAAGTGAGTTGCTTTGTTTTTGGAGCATCCACTCAAACTCAATAAACGAATGAAGGTTAAATTTATTTTTTTTACTTTCTTTTCATGAGCAATCATTTTAATCAGAAGACATGCAAAGCCAAGTAAGCTTCTAAATTCCATTTTTTAAAAATCTCAGATTGAGTAAATCTGAATCAGCAAAACATCTTCCAAAAAAAACACTTTAAAAAGCTTTTTTCCTCCTGACAGACATACTGACAATTATCCAAGTGGTTTTTTTCTCCTTCCTTCCTTCCTTCCTTCCTTCCTTCCTTCCTTCCTTCCTTCCTTCCTTCCTTCCTTCCTTCCTTCCTTCCTTCCTTCCTTCCTTCCTTCCTTCCTTCCTTCCTTCCTTCCTTCCTTCCTTCCTTCCTTCCTTCCTTCCTTCCTTCCTTCCTCTTTTCTTTTCTTTTCTTTTCTTTTCTTTTCTTTTCTTTTCTTTTCTTTTCTTTTCTTTTCTTTTCTTTTCTTTTCTTTTCTTTTCTTTTCTTTTCTTTTCTTTTCTTTTCTTTTCTTTTCTTTTCTTTTCTTTTCTTTTTTCTTTTTTCTTTTCTTTTCTTTCCTTCCCTTGTAATAACGCATTTCAGGGAATGAAAGCCACTGAAAGAATCTGTTTTATTCACAGTCTTCATATAAGTGCTGAAGAGCCTGAACCGACCGTGACAGATCGCTCTGAAAGTAAGTTGCCTCCCAGCTCCTACCAGTAACAAACTTTTGCGAAATCCCAGTCGGCAACCTTGGGCTGCTCGTTGTTCACCACCCCGTGTCCTCATCCTGGGTGAAGCTCCTGTTCGCGGGATCTCTGTAGATCTGCCTCGGTCCTTGCCGCTGGCGGCGGGCAGGGCGGGCGCTGCGGGCGGCTCTCCCGCATTCCCGCATTCCCGCATTCCCGCATCCCGTCCCGCGCCCGTCCCGCGCCCTTCCCGCCGCACCCACCAGGGGCCACTGCAGCCGCGGGGATGCGGCCGCAGCTCGGGCGCGTCGCTCAGGCGGCCGCGTCGCTAAGGGAAAAGTAGCGCGACGCACAGTAATCAGCATAAATTCGTAGAATTGACATTATAATCAGCAGGGCAACATTTTCATGAGCTTTGCTTCTTCCCACAGAAGTTTGCGTCCTGTTTATCATCCTTTGCGACTGCCCCAAAGAAATCTTTCACTCAAGGCTCCAGATCCCGCCGGCTGCTCTGTGTGTTTCAGAGCAAGGCGTGAGCACGGCAGCAGATCTTGCGCCGGGATACTGGCAGCCCCCCTTGGGCCCCCACATGATGCTCATCTTGCCCTGGAAAGTAGTTCCACTTTATTTTTCCCCTCTCCATAGCGAGAATTTAATAAACCGAATTTAAATGAATTTCTGTTTAACTTTGTCCTGGACGACGGATCTGAGACGACAGGTGGCTGCTGCGTGGGGAAGCGGCCGAGAGTCGCCTCCCGCGGAGCTCCGTCCACGCGGGGCAGCGGAGCAGCCGCAGCGGGCCCTGCCCGAGCGCGCACGGCCCCGCCGGGGCGGGCAGCATCCCCGGCCGCCGAGGGGCGCCGGGCGGCGGAGCGGGAGCCCCGCGGGGCTGAATCGGCCCGGCCCCCGCCGCCGCCGCCCGGGAGGGGCCGGGCGGGGCCGGCAGGAAACCCCGCCCCGGGCAGCGCCCGCCGCGCTCCGCGCAGCCTGCGCTGCTCAGCGGAGCCGAGCCGAGCCGGGCCGGGAGGCTGGAGCGGGACGGGACGGGACGGGACGGGACGGGACGGGACGGGACGGGACGGGACGGGACGGACGAGGCGCGGCGGCTCTACCGTGTCGCGCAGCCACGCGGGACCGCGCCGCCCGTGGGCCGGCCCCGCCGCGGGGGGGACCTCGGTATTTGATTTTCTTTTCTTCTTTTTGGCGAAGGAGAGAAGCAGCAGGTTTATGCTAATCGCCCTCTGGGGAGCGGCGGCGGGAGGAGGAGGAGAGGAGCCATTTTGAACTCACTTCAAAGTTTAAGGTGGAAAAGTTGGAGCTCTCCAGCCTGCTGCCCGCGGACCGGGACGGGGCGCGGGGCTTGAGGCCGGCGGTGCCCGGGAGGCGAGGGCGGTGGGGGGCGCGGGCCGGCGGCTGATGGATGCGGGCGGGCGGGCAGCCCGGCGGGTGGATGGATTGTGCAGCAGCCCGCTGCCCGGCCCCGCTGCCCGCTGAGCTCCGGAGATGCCGCGGCTGCTGTCCGCCGCCGCCTGCGTGTCCTGGGCCGCGCTGCTCTGCGCCCTGGCGTCGGCAGGCGGCCGGGACCCGCGGCCGCCCCGCGCCGCCCCGCTCCTCCACCTGCCCGCGGGGGCCGCGGGCCGCCCCGCCGCTGCCGCCGCTGCCGCCGAGCCGCCGGCGCTGCCGCCCGCCGGGCGCCTGAGGGCTGCGGGGACCGCGCCGCGCCGCGCTCCGCCCGCCGAGCCCCGCGGGCCCCGCGGCGGCGGCGGCCCCTGCCCGCGGCGAGCCCGGCACCGGGCGGGCGCCGAGCCCCGCGGAGCCGCCGCCGGCTGCAACCCGCTGCCGGGCACGGAGGGCGGCGGGCGGCGGGCAGCGCGGCGGGCGCGGAGCCTCAACAGCCCCCCGCAGTTCCAGCTGCCCAGCTACCAGGTCTCCATCCCCGAGAACGAACCGGCCGGCACGGCGGTCATCGTGCTGCGGGCCCAGGACCCTGACGATGGGGAAGCCGGCCGGCTGGCGTACTCCATGGAGGCGCTCTTTGACGAGCGCTCCAACGACTACTTCACCATCGACGCCGAGACGGGCAGTGTGGTCACTGCCCGCAGCCTTGACCGGGAGACGAAGGACACCCACGTGCTGAAGGTTACCGCCTCCGACCACGGTTCCCCTCGCCGCCGTTCGGCCACCACCTATCTGACAGTGACTGTGAGTGACACCAACGACCACGAGCCAGTGTTTGAGCAGCCCGAGTACCGGGAGAGCATCCGGGAGAACCTGGAGGTGGGTTATGAGGTGCTGACTATCCGTGCCACTGATGGTGATGCCCCAGCCAATGCCAACATGCTGTACCGCCTGCTGGAGCCGGGAGCTGGTGACGGAGTCTTTGAGATTGACCCGCGTTCCGGGGTTGTGAGGACCCGGGCTTCCGTGGACCGTGAGGAGGTCTCTGAGTACCACCTGGTGGTGGAAGCCAACGACCAGGGCAAGGATCCGGGCCCACGCAGTGCCACAGCTATGGTGCACATCACCGTGGAGGATGAGAATGACAACTACCCTCAGTTCAGTGAGAAGCGCTACCTGGTCCAGGTGCCAGAGGATGCTCCAGTGAACAGCCAGATATTGCAGGTACAGGCCACAGATCGGGACCGGGGCAGCAATGCCCAAGTGCACTACAGCATCGTGAGTGGCAACTTGAAAGGCCAGTTCTACATTCACTCTTTCTCTGGCGCCATCGACCTCATCAACCCTCTGGATTATGAGACTATTCGGGAGTACACGCTCCGGATCAAAGCCCAGGATGGGGGCAGACCTCCTTTGATCAACTCCAGTGGTATGGTGTCAGTGCAGGTTGTGGACGTGAATGACAATGCCCCCATCTTTGTGAGCACTCCCTTCCAGGCCACGGTGCTGGAGAATGTTCCTCTGGGCTACTCAGTGCTGCACATCCAGGCTGTGGATGCTGACTCTGGAGAGAATGCCCGCCTGGAGTACAAACTCATAGAGATGGCACCATCCACTGGAGGTGCCCCTGTAGCAGGTGACTCTGGGTTCCCTTTTCAAATCAACAACAGCACGGGGTGGATCACTGTGGCTGCAGAGCTGGACCGAGAGACTGTGGAAAACTATCACTTTGGGGTGGAGGCCAGGGACCACGGCGTGCCGGTCATGATCTCCTCAGCCAGCGTGTCCATCACTGTCCTGGACGTGAACGACAACAACCCCACCTTCACAGAGAAGGTGTATCACCTCAGACTGAACGAGGATGCAGCTGTGGGCAGCAGTGTCCTGACCCTGACAGCAGTGGACAGGGACGTTAACAGTGTTGTGACTTACCAGATTACCAGTGGCAACACCAGGAACCGTTTTGCCATCACCAGTCAGAGTGGAGGAGGGCTGATCACGCTGGCCTTGCCCCTGGATTACAAGCAAGAAAGGCAGTATGTGCTCACAGTCACTGCCTCTGATGGCACTCGCTTTGACACCGTCCAGGTCTTCATCAATGTCACAGATGCCAACACACACCGTCCAGTTTTCCAGAGCTCCCACTACACAGTGAGCGTCAGTGAGGACAAGCCCATTGGCACCTCTATTGTCACCATCAGTGCCACTGATGAGGACACAGGGGAGAACGCAAGAATCACTTATATTTTGGATGATAACATCCCCCAGTTCCGCATTGACCCCGATACAGGCACCATCACCACCCTGATGGAGCTGGACTACGAGGACCAGGCCTCGTACACATTGGCCATTACAGCCCACGACAATGGTATCCCCCAGAAGTCGGACACGACGTACGTTGAGATTCTCATCCTGGATGCCAACGACAACGCGCCCCGCTTCCTGCGCGACCGCTACCAGGGCTCGGTTTTTGAGGATGTGCCGCTCTCCACCAGTGTCCTGCAGCTGTCTGCCACTGACCGTGACTCAGGCCTCAATGGCCGTCTCCTCTACACATTCCAAGGGGGTGATGATGGAGATGGGGACTTCTACATTGAACCCACTTCTGGAGTGATACGCACGCTGCGCAAGCTGGACCGCGAGAACGTGGCTGTCTACAGCCTGCGGGCTTTTGCTGTGGACAGGGGCAGCCCGCCCCTGAAAGCCTCTGTGGACATCCAGGTGACCGTGCTGGACATTAATGACAACCCCCCTGTCTTTGAGAAGGATGAATTTGATATCTTTGTGGAGGAGAACAGCCCTGTGGGCTCTATTGTGGCACGCATCAGTGCAGCTGATCCCGACGAGGGGACCAATGCGCAGATCATGTACCAGATTGTAGAGGGGAACATCCCTGAGGTCTTCCAACTAGACTTGCTCAACGGAGACCTCACAGCCCTAATGGACCTGGATTATGAGAGCCGGACAGAGTACGTTATTGTGGTGCAGGCCACTTCAGCCCCTCTCGTGAGCCGAGCAACCGTGCACATCCGCCTCCTGGACCAGAACGATAATCCCCCCGTGCTGCAGGACTTCCAGATCCTCTTCAACAACTACGTGACCAACAAGTCCAACAGCTTTCCCTTGGGCGTGATTGGCAAGATCCCAGCTCATGATCCCGATGTGTCTGATAGCCTGGCCTACACTTTCGTCCAAGGCAATGAGTTAAACTTGCTCCTTTTGGACTCTGTCACTGGGGAGCTCAAACTCAGTCGTGATCTGGACAACAACAGACCCCTGGAAGCCCTTATGAAAGTGTCAGTCTCAGGTAAGCAAGCATTTGAGTGCACGATTTTGTTTGTCAGACCAGTATGGAGGCACAGGCAGAAATAACACACTTGCAGTTCAGAGTGTAGCTCTTGGTTTCCTGAAGCAGAAATTGATCTGTGAAATTTTTGGAGAGGAACCACAAACATCTATCTGTCTTTGTGCTGTGGATTGAAGTGGTGCTTTGAAGTTATTTAGTAAACGTGGCTCAGAAGGATAAATAAATGTGAGTGTGCATGGAAGGGAGCATACTCCCTCAGCTGAGGTGGTACTGAGGCTGCTACTGAGGCTGGGGCTTTTCTGATGTGGTTCCATAAAGGTAGCAAATGATGTAACTTGCAAAGGTAGTAAATGATGTAACTTGCAAAGATGCAGTGAATGCACAGGTATCTGTAATGCTGTCTCCCTTCCCTCTTTATTTTTCTGTAAAAAAGAAGTTGAGATTTGGTATCTCTGCCTTTTCAGCAACAAAACATGTTTACTCCCTTCTGTGTACCCAGAGGTTTGTCGGGTAGCTCCTTAGACCTCAGCCCAGAGCTGGTGTGGCCCAGGTGGATGTTCTGCTGTGTTTGCACTGCTGACCTGCACTCCTGTGGGAAATGGCAGCTCTGAAAGCAATGAGCTATGGCTGTGTGAGAGCTGTGTGACATGGCTAATGGCACTGGAGCTGCTTTAGTGGCACTAGGGGCAGATACTGGCCAAATGCAGCCCTCAAATCAGGGGAGGGAGAGACAGGGAGAGGGAGGGATGCTGTGCATTAACTTCATTGGAGAACTTGTGTCTCTGTGTGTGTGTGAAGACTGTTCCATATTGTCTAATATGTGCCTTTATTTGAGCACAAACACACTCTTAGGATATTATTCTTTTTCTGCTCAGTTGCCTGTTTATCATGGAATTACTTTTTATGCCTCTAATTGTGACATCAATCGTGCAATGAGTAATTTCCTCTTCAGGTGCCACTCTATAAAGTTTACTGTGGACCTGATCCCATATTTCTGTTGACTTTCAAAGGTTTAACCTGATACTTTTCTTGCTGCCCTTCTCTGCAGACTAAAACTATGATTGTGTTTTAAAAAAAAAGGCTCGAAGTACTAGGTATGTAAAATCACACTTGGGGACATGATTAGAAAAATAATAATCAATCTGTGGCATAATCCCAGCAGCAATTGTTTTGCTGTAAAAGTGGCCACAGTGTGCAGCAAGGCCTCAAAAAAGTGAGCCACGCTCTCCCTTGTGTTTGCAGGCTTGAGGTTCTTTATTCTTCTGAAAAATGAAAGTGACATTAACTGAGCTGACTGATTTTGCTGCAGTGTATCCCCTGAAAAGCCACTCCTGGTTCTTCCAAAATGCTAGGGTGCAGCTTATGTGGTAAGATAAATGCTGTTTCCATGTCCTGAGAGGACTAGCAGGAAAAACAGACAGTAGGCTTGTGACCTTAAAGAAAAACATTTGGATTAAGGTGCAGATGATTGCATGGTCACTGTCTGTTTGAACCAGTAGCCCTTTATCTGGTAGCAGAAGATAAGCACTCATCTTGGAGCACAAAGCTTGGAAGAGTTGTTAGGCTAGGTGAAGAGTGTGTTCAGTGCAGAAAAATAGCTGACATGGGTGATTCCTTTCTCAGTATAATGATTTACACGGTTTAAGTGGATGAAGTCTCAGGCAGGAGTGAAGACCTGTTTTCTTATGCAGGAGATTGATTATTTCAGCATCCTTTTCATGTTTTGTGAAGGTGTGAACTTTGAAACTGTGCTGTGATGTTCATCAGAATGGACTGTCTGCTGCTTGTCTTGAGATACTTGAAATGCTTAAGCTTTTTATGGCTAGGATTTTAACATAATTTTAAGGAGCACTGAACTACATTTGACATTTATTTGGAAAGGTTGGCTTTGTGGAAATTAGAAGGGCAGTTTGTCGTGTGATTAGTCCATGAAAGTCTCACCTGCCTGGTTTCTCTGATTTATCTGATGAAGTTCAAAAAAGAAAAGAGACAGAGAAGAAGCTCAGACAGGAGTACTCCCCGGGGTTATCTCTAAGTGTTGCGTAACACCTGCAAATCATCTGCTAAAATGACCTGCCAGTTAACTGGAAAAAACGTGTCTTTGGAGTAGCCATTAACCTCCCAACCCAGCCAAACACAAAATCCTCCGCTACTCGCAGCTGCTCTGGGTCAGGGAAGGACTGGAACTCCTTATGGACTTGGGGGATTTGATCTCAATACGAGTCGGAAATAACAGTGGTGCTATAAAAATCTTATTTCTGTCTAGCAATGTGTTGTGCAGCAGAGGCATGTGAGTGTGTGCAGTGCTAGCCAGGAGCCCTGCTACTCACGGAGTTACTTGGAGACACTGATACGTGGCTAAACGCAGCGCTCTTTCATTTCACTCGGGGATTATTCAAATAAGCATGGTAATTTTTGCTTACTCCTTATAAACAAAATGTAAGAATCATGAAGAGCAAGCAAATGGAGCTAACAGGCTTCATAAAGCTGTCAGAAGTTTCATGTCATCATTGTCAGAGGCTCTGTGGGCTGGTGAGCAGCTGGGGCAGGCTCTGCCCTTGCTGGGGTGCCCGTGGGGTACCTGTGGGCTGTGCCCCCAGCCAGGCAGGAGCCAGCCCAGGCCGAGGAGTGTGGGTGGTGTGGATATTAGCATTTTGCTTTGGACTGGAAGAAGCTTTTGAAGTCTGTCTCTTTTGAAGTGAATCTCTCTGGGTGTCCCTCTGCCTGTGCCTGTTTTGCAGAGCTGTCTGAGTGAACAAACCGGACCCCTTTTGCATGCAACTGTTCCAGACGTGCTCCAGGGGTCCCTGAACAAGGCACATTCTCCTTTTTCTAGTGTACCTTCAAGGGTTTCCTACAGAAAGGCAGAGCTTGAGCTTTATATTCCCATGTCTGCACATTGTTTTAACAACTGGGGTAAAATCTGGACTCTGCTGAAATCCTGCCCCTGCTTTCCAGGAGGGGCAGGATTTTACCCTGACCTTCTGAAACAGGTGGTCAAGAATCTATCAGTCTGTGATTTCTTAGTTTTACTAATTGACAGGATGGTTAAATATGATTTTTTTTTTTTGTGTCCACAGTGATGTTCATCATAATGTTAAAATGGGATTTATTTGGTCCAAAATGGGTTAAACATTGTTGAAGTCACGTTTGTTAAACATTATATTGTAGTTCTTGCTGGGGCAGCAGGAGGGGGAAGGCTGGTATGAGCAGCAGCTTTTCACAAACGTTACACAAGTTTGCCTGGGTATCACATTGCAAACACTGCTGGCACCTGCTTGGCTGTGTTGCCACAAGTAGTCCCACTTATCATCAGCGACAGCTCGGTGGGATACAATAGATGTGTGTGCAAACTCCTCTGGGAACCCAGCCTAAATCAGCAGTGCAGACAAAACCCAAACTGGCTGGATGCTACAGCTTTGGAGTGGTCCACATAAATGTAAAATATCATTATGCAACAGACAATATACAATTCTGAGAAGGTGTTGCACCTCAGGCGGTGAGGGATAGACACTCAGGCATTTCTGAGGACTGTGCAAGCTCAAGTATTGTCTTTTACATTTCTTTCTTTAGCTTTAAATATCCAGTGGCATTCAGTGAGGTTATTGACCATCAGCAAATAGAAATTAACATAGAGCTTGTTTGTGTTACAATCAGCTTTGGGAATTTTCACTCAGAGGTTCATAAAGAATCTTTATTATTATTGTAATTTTAAAGTCATTATTGCTAATGATCCTGAATCTCCAGGTCTGTGCCTTCTCCATACAGATACAGATGCTGCAATAATTTGGTGCAGCCCTTCTCAGAAAGGTGAGGCCACAGCTGTGCCTGAGTACAAAGTATTGGGGTGTTACTGGTGTGTGGCAAGATTTGGGATTAAAGGGAAAAAGGAAATTCTAGCAAAAAGGTACCTTTGTATGTACAGGAAGACCTGTGGGCACGGAGGGTGAGCAGGGTGTGACCTCTCAGGATGTGCAGAGCAGCAGCAGGACACAGCCCAGCCTCATGCCCCCACCTTTGGGCAGCTGGGGCCTTCTGAGCTCTGGGGGCAGACCTGCAGGGCAGCTGCTTCTGGCTGCCACCAAGGACATGCTTCCAGGGACAGCAAGGGGCACTTAGCACCCTCACTGCTCTCCAGGGCCCCCCTTCCAGGGAAACATTGCCACAGGCAGCTGGTGTAGAGATCCCTGTGGGTTATACAGGTAGGAGATGATGGAAATGGATGGGAGGAGAGTCCTCCCCTTGGAGCAGGAGATGTGTTGGGGCCTGTTCTGTGGCTGCAGGGCTTTTACATGCTGGCATCCCAGGCACCTTGGCTTGCTGCACTTCCCCGTGCATCCTACTGTGGAGCAAGGGGAGGAGGCAGCAGGGCAAAGGCTGCTGAGGTGTGGGAGGCAGTGATGAGGGACCCATGCAGAAAGATGGCATGGAACCACAAGCTGCAGGATTGCATCTCCTGTCCTTGTGTGGTGTGTTTGGTGGGACTGAAGTGAAGGATGATTGATAATAGCTAGTAGTGGTGACTTGGAACATTTGCATTTATTTTCCTAAAACAGCAAATCAAGAACAGTGACCATCAATTAAAGCTAGGGTAGCTCCTGGATCTGCTGTGGCTACCTGAATCCTTTATTGCCTCCATATAGGTTCCATATGCTAATTCATGCCACAGCAAGGTGCATTGTAGATGTGTGTCCTTCCAGCCTGCTGGAATGTGAATTTCCCTTTTCAGCTGCATGAGGTGTTCCAGCTGATGAAAAGCTGTGGTTGCCTTGTTGGTTCCCTACAGGCTTCCTTCCCCTTCATGCCTGGGTTTCTTAGGAGTGGTGTATTTTTGTTTCAAAAGACAGGAAAACATCTATGGCAATGAGGGGAAATTATTTAGTGGAAGTCTGACTGACAAAGTAACTTTTTATGAGATAAAAGGTATCTTCTGTCTCCCAATAAATAAAATGTTGATACTTTTCTTGTCAATTTCTGGGAAAGAGAGAAGCTAAGGTAAC